TAACTTCATGATTACAAATAGAAGCAAATACCGTATATGCAGCTTGGGGTGAACTCTGAAATTCTTGGTGCTCTTTGAGCATGGTAGCTTTCTTGCAGATGTTTCATTACCCAGCTAGGAAGTATCTTCACTGAAGATGTTATCTAGCTAGGTAATGAAACGTCTAATGATTACAATTTATTTGTAAAAGCATGGGAAGTTTTATGAATTTGAACAATACAGAGGACTCATTCAGTTCACTACCAATATCTGCATCCTCTTCTATTTATATTAAGAGCCTTAGCAAGTTAAGTCTCTTTTGTATATCACATAGGAAGAGAAATGGAGAAAGTAAGCGAAAACCTAAACAAATCACGGAATGGATTAGCACAACGAATGAATTCTGTAAACTGTAGTTTGCTGCTATGACTGAATCTGCAATCTACTCCCAGGAATTTTATACTGTGGAGAAATGGAGTTGCCCAACTAAAGGCTAGGCGAAGACAGAAGTGGTTCAAAAGCAGGATTGGCCACACAAAATAGGAAGTTGTCCTCTGCTGGGGGTCTTCAATCAGAAGTTGGATGGTCATCTTTCAGGGCTGCTGCTAGGCAGGGGTGGGATTCAAATTTTTAACAACTGGTTCTGTGGGCGTGGCTTAGGTGGTAGGCGTGGCTTGGTGGTCATGTTATTGGCTGGGTGTGGCCAACTCAATATCACTCAGATCAAGGCACACATCTCCTCGCCTGGCCTCTCATGACTGTGGGGATGCTGCAACAGTCATAAGTGTGAAAAATGGTCATAAGTCACTTTTTTCAGTGCCATTATAACTTTGAATGGTCACTCCACACAAGCAAAGTACCAGCAAAAGAGGGGGAAAAAAACTCCAGAGAAGTTCCTGTGACAGGAAGTCTAGTCCTGCCAAGAATGTAATAAGGGTTAAAGGAGAGGCAGTTTCTGTAAGCAACACCAGAATGTTTCCTTCCTGCCAACCTTACAGGATTAGGCCAGTAATTTCTTCTAACAACTGGTTCTCCGAACTGCTTAGAATGTTAACAACCGGTTCTAGCGAATAGGTGCGGACTGGTAGAATCCCACCCCTGCTGCTAGGGATCCTGTGCTGGGCCAAGGGTTGGACCAGACCACCTCTTAAGGTCCCCTCCAACTATGTCAGGGGTGTCTAACCGACAGCCCACAGGCCAGATGCATCACATTTAGAAGCTCTTGTTGCATTGAGTGTTCTTCAGAGAACTTACTGCCTTCTATTTGAGATGATCTTTGAACAGTGCCACCTGCCTTCAGCTTGGTTTTACATGTTTCTTGGAGGCAAATGGAACTGCAAATGTGTTAAAAATATTGCCCTGTCCACAACCAACTGTACCCAACACATCATATTCGAAGCAGAGGTATTCTGAACAATAGAGATCCACAAGTTTGAGGAAAGATCTTGCCTTTCTATATCCTCGGTGCTACCCAAATTAAGTTAACGGTTTGGACAATATTTGATATTTGCAATATCAAATTGAAATAGGCATCTTCCCCTATTCAGCCTGGTGGTGATCCTGTGATTTCCTGTTGGTGATGACACCAGCTTTAGAATCATAAATAACCTCAGTCACAGTTCTGAGAAGGAAGTTATATGAAGATTGCAGGCTCGTTCAATAAGTATTTCCATATAATGATTTTACTCGGGGGGGTTTCAGTTTTCAGAGAAAAGACGGAACATTTTGCCTTTATCTCAGATAGAATGTTGAGAGTTCTGAAGTTATTAATATGGACCATAAACCTCTCCATGAACTTTTATTGGGAAGCATGAGAATGGGTTTGATTGGGGACTGTTTTTCCTGACTGATCAGCTAACAAACTCCAGATTTTCTTATAACCTGTCACATTATTAGTTCATACCTCTCAGAATGGTAAATGCAGTTCATTTTCCCTTAAGCACTTTCCTAGTTCATAAATTTAATCATATGTAGTGAACCTTTGGGGATCAGATGTTTTGTATAGGCAAAAAGGTCATGGATCGCTTTTAAGGGATGGAGCAGGATTTGAATATATGCAGGCTTGGGTGATGGATCATTATTAAGACAAGAATTGCTTCAGAATGAAGTTCTGGGAATCAGTGGTTCCTCAGTTATGGCCTGGGAACCTCTGAAGATCCACAAGGGAAGCATACATGGTCCCTGGTGCAGCAGAAAATAATTTAAAAATAATAATTTTGGCCATTGGTCTTGCTCAAAACCTTACAAGGTCGCCCAATAAACTTTTAGTAATCATTTTAAAGTTGGGCTCCTAGGGAGCCAATTGAGAAGAGACTCACATTTGCCAAGTTCTGATCCCTTCTTTATGTGGTGGGCCTCAGACACTTTTGAACATGACCAAAATGGTCTGTATGAAGGAAAAGACTGACAATTTCTGACCTGGTTAAAATATTCTAATCCAGGACCGCAAGCCTCTTTGCTCTCCAGTCTTGTTGAGATTTACATCTCTTAGAAACTCATGCAGGATGAGATATGTAGACTCAACCCAAGGCAAGGATAAGGATGCCATTGAATAGTTGCCCAAATCAATGTAAGGTCTGGGGTGGTACATGGTCTAAAAAAGTTGCCAGTGGCTCAACTTGGCTCAGAGACTATATGGACTCACCTACCTCAAAATTCTGCAGATCTGGGCTCAAAAAATATTTTCCCAGAGATAAGCCCCCCCCCCCCCCCCCCCCCCACTTGTTTTACCAACAGGCCCTTGCAACCAAATTAGTTTCCAAACATTTTCAAAATGGGTGGTTATAGCAGTGCAGAGATGCTTATTTATACTGAAACAAATGCAACTGGATTTACACATCTTACCTTTAAAAACCATCTGTTTATATTATTTGAGTTAAGGAATAAAAGGGTAGGAGGTTTCATAATAAGGATTTTAGCTTTTTCCATTCTTCATATTGAAATAATCAACAGTGGAGTCTTCAAAATAGTACCCCGAATGACAGCATAATTTTTGATCTCCATGACTGGGGGCTTAAAAATCTGAATGGAGCCTTCAAACACACACACACAAACACCTGTATATGTAATCACTTCCTCCTCCTTTCAAGGATTTTTAAAGTTGCATAAAATATTGATTTATCCTACCATTTGTTCATTATGTTGACATACAGTATGTATATAATATAGAGTCAAGGTGATGGAATAGTTAAAACAGGTAGCCCTCAATTTACAACTAAATGACCATTCAAAGTTACAACAGCATTGAAAAAGTGACTTATGATCACTTATGGCCATTGAAACATCACTGTGTGGTCACATGATCAAAATTTGGATGCTTGGCAACTGGCATGTATTTATGACAGTTGCAGTCTCCTGGGGTCATGTGATCAGCTATTGCAACCTTCTGACAGGCAAAGTCAATAGGGGAGGGAGCCAGATTCACGTAACAACCACACTACTAACTGAACCATTACATTGATTCACTTAACAACTATGGGGGAAAGGTCATAAAATGGGACAAAAGTCACTTAAGTCACTTCCTTAGCAGTGGAAATGTTGGGGCTCTATTGTGGCTGTGAGTTGAGGCTCACCCATGTGTTGGACTAGGATTAGAGAAACCCAAATTCAAGTCCACGGTCAACCATGGAAGCTGGTTGGTGATCTTGAACTGGTTATTGTCTCTCAACTCAATCACAACCTCATAGGGTGATTATTAAAGAGGAAAAATGGAGGATGGAGAACTGCATCTATTGCCCTAGGACAGAGGTCTCCAAACTTGGCAACTTTAAGACTTGTGGCCTTCAACTCCTAGAATTCCTCAGCCAGCATAACTCTTTTAAATAATTGCAAAGATGGAGTCATCCAGATCTATTAGAGAATTGTGGGAGTTGAAGTCCACAAGTCTTAAAGCTGCCAAGTTTGGGGACCCCTGCCCTAGGATCTAGACCAGGGGTGTCAAACTCACATCATCACAGTGGCGTCACATAACGTATTGGGACTCCCCCCACCTTTGCTAAACCAGGTGGGGGCGGGGCAACCATGTGACACCTCTAGCCTGCGCGCTGAAAGTTTGACAGCCCTATTCTACAGTAGAAAAAGTTTATTTATATCTTACAAATAAATAGTTGATGTGTACATAAGGTTTATATTTGTGTGCATGTGTGTGCTCGCATGCTCATATCCGCCTCTCAGTCCATCAGTGTGCATGCATTCAAGCACTAAGCGTGAAAGCTACTTCATACGTTAAGGGAACTGTTTTTCCTTCTCTCTGAAAATAATGAAAGTGAAGAGGTGAGCGGAGAGTAACTTGACTATTCTAAAAACATTCCATGTCTTCATTTGAAGATTCCTATTTTTAGAGCCCCGGATGCCTTTCTAAAAGGCTATAGATTACACTGGCTTTTTCCTACAGGGACAATTTATGTTAAAGTACTTGGCGTTTCAGACTGCACCACTGGAAAGACCTGTAAGATTGCATGTAGGAAGGGACAGAAGTGCCATCAATCAATCCCTGCTGCTGCTTTTTCTTTTTTTAACGTGCCATTTATCATTATGACGGGATGCAAACAAAAACACAGATTTTCACCTTGAATTTGTGACTTTAAGAAACCACTCGCATTTAAAGTCGGGGGGAAAATAATAATAAGGGGAAGAAAGCCTTAGTAACCAGGTTCCAGGGTCTAACAAACAGAGATGTTCTTCTTTTACCTGCAGAATGTTTTTTTTTCCTCGTAGAAAAACATATATAGCTCAGCTGAATTTAAATAGGGAAGAGAGAGAGAGAGAGAGAGAGGGAAAAAAACCCCAGAGGTTGGCTTGGAGGTCTGAAGGCCTGGCTCTACTTATAAATCCAGCTCTGGTCTGTGTGGGGCCTTCTCTAAAAGAAAAAAAAAATCTTTCCCCCTCTCTAAGCATCTATGTAATGGAGGGCTGGTAGTCTCTCATTAAAAGCAAAACTCCAAAGCACTGGGTCTCGATGCAGTTGAAGACTTTACAAGCTCCAAACCTAATATTATAATTCTTTCTTTTCTCATGTCTAGTGATGGGATCCCTCCTTACAGAATCGGGAGCAAGAAGCATCTCCAGAGGGAAATGCACCGCAGCGTCAAGGCCAACGGGCAAGTTTCTCTACCTCACTTTCCGGTAAGTCCTTTTGGAGTTGACGAAGCATTTTATTAAAAAAAGCATCCATTTGTTTGGTCCATAGATGAATGAATTCAAAGGCCAACTAGGATGTGGATCGATAGTTTTGAATTCAGGTAGTCCTCGATTTACAATCATTTGTTTAGCGGTCATTCGAAAATGACACCGGCCATTCGAAAAAGCGACGTGAGATCCTCACCTTTACAACTATCACGGTCGTGTGATCAAAACATGGGCAATTTCCAACAAGCAAAATCAACGGGGGATTCACTTAACAGCCATGTGATTCACTTAATAACTGCAGTGGTTCGCTAAGTGACCGTGGCAACAAAGGTCATGAAATCAGGCACAACTCACTTAACAGCCACAGTGTTTTGCAATGGAAATTCTGGCCCCAATTGTGGTCGTGAAACAAGGACTACCTGTAATTTTTTTTTATCAGTTTGTATTGGGATTCATGTACTTGTCTTTGACCCGGAGTCCTCCAGAATGGTGGAAGGCTATGAATATTGCAAAATAAAGAATGACAGAGATTGTGATTCCCTGTTGTAAAGATAACTGGAAAGATAATTTGCTAAAATGATAAAATAGTACCCTTCCCACCTGTTTTACTAATGTTGCTTAGATATATTGGATTTGTTTTATCCACCACAGAGAGGTTCATTTTGCTCTGGAGGATGTTGGCCCAGGTGCTATCAAAGTAGACCGGATCTAGGAATCTGCTTTGGGCTAGGCCAGCCTTTTAGGCACCAAGCCCTGGTGTGTGTGTGTGTGTGTGTGTGATTGACAATCCCATCCTGCGCCCCTTTCTGAGGACCGCATCTCTGCTGTTTGAGAGGGTCGGATAAACGAAAATAGGGTAGCGCCCAGAGAAAAAGAACAGATATACAGGTAGTCCTTATTGACTACAGTTGAGCCTAAAATTTCCACTGCCAAGCAAGTTTTGCCCTATTTTTCGACCTTTCTTGCCACCGTTGTTAAGTGAATCACTGCAGTTGCTATGTTGGTAACACGGTTTTTCATTGAGTCTGGCTCCCCCATTTGCTTGTCAGAGGGCCGCAAAAGGTGATCACATGACCCTGGGACACTCCAACCATTATAAACACATGCCAGTTGTCAAGCGCCTGAACTTGATCATGTGATGCCTACAACAGCCGTGGGGAAAAAAACAGTCATAAGTCGCTGTTTTCGGTGCGGTTGTGACTTCGAACGGCCACTAAACGAATGGTTGTAAGCCGAAGACCACCTGTGTAAGTGGACTTCCATAGAATACAACATAACAATTCTTTTTAAAAAGAGAGAGAGGGAGAGAGTTATATTGTATACTTTCCAAAGAGATTCCCAATTGGTTTGAGAATTCTTCCTGTTATTTGGACCTGAAAATTTTCCTTTCCGCTTTCCCCCCCTTCTCTCTTTTTTTTTTAGAGCTATGGAGAACAACTATAGGGGAGGTTTAGAATCTGCCCTAAGATGAGATCAATGAAAACATGACTTGGACTCCTGACCCAGCTTGGGAGTTTCTGGAAGCATCTGGCTAGCAGCTATTAGTGGGGAAATGTTGGGCTGGGATGATTGTTGGTTGAATCCACCAGATGTCTTGGACGAGAAGTTCCAAGATTTCCTAGCCAAAGGCTGGCCTGGACGATTCCTTTCCCCTAGGCTCTGGGTCTGACATGCCTTGTGTATGTGTGTGTGTGTGTGTGTGTGTGTGTGTGTGTGTCATTCGTGGCTAGATGATTGGTAGAACTGGGCTTATTGTTTTATCCTGCTCCTTTGCTGCTGCAGGACAGCTCTAAAATGCCTGCTTCCTCCCTCTATTGATCATGTGATGAATCGGCTTGAGGGTGGTAAAGAGAAAGGGGCGGGCGGGGGGGGGGGGAAATCCTCTTGAATCTCACTGTGAACTTCCACAGCTGCTTTATTTTATTTTACGGCTTTTTTTTTTTTTTAAGTGCTTTTCATTTGCTGTTCTGCTTCGGGATGTCAAAGAGTGAGAAACCACCAGGAGGAATTATGTTCTCATTGAAGTCACTGGGCGTTCTGGTATTTGTTTAAGCAGAGCCAGGATTTCTCCCCCCCCCCCCCCCTTTTAGCAACTGCTAAGGCAGGAAATAGATTTCCCAGGTCCTTCAAAGGAAAAAGGATATTTGCACCCAAAAGTCTCCCCTCACCTCCCATTCCGCCCCCATCCTAGGTCTTCTTGCTTGTTGGCTTCCATGCAAGCAGTTAATTGAATAGGGTTTGTTTGGAAATTTGAGTTCTTTTCTCGTCTAAAGTACAGAGGGTTTCAGGGTGATATGCTGTGTAATTCTCGTGGTGCAGCTTTCTTTAGCATAGGGTCTTCTTAATATGTTGGACTAGAGCTCCATCATCAATCATCTCCAGCCTAGTAGGGCAAATTGAGTACAGCTCCCATCATCCCCAGTCAACGTAGTGAAACAGAGGTGTGGAATAGGGGAGCCCACGTTTTTGGAGGACACAAATTTGAGGGTGTCAATTGGAAGTGAATAAGCAAGTACAAGCTGGAGGATTTTAAGAAGAAACTGGATGGTCATTTGTCTGAAATTGTATAGGGGTTCTTGCTAGAGCAGCAGGTTGGACTAGAAGACCTCCAAGGTCCCTTCCAACTCTGATGAAGTTCTATGTTCGAAACTGATTTTGTGATTAATGTAAGCAGATTCAACTTCTTGTTCTCTTAAGGGATGAGAAATCCCAGGTGAAATATGTCTCTGAGATGGATGGGGATTGTCTAGGACACAGGTATCCAAACTCACAGCATCACGTTGCCGTCACGTGACGTTTTGCTATGTTTCCGCCACCCCCTTTGTGGAGCTGGGATGGGCGTGGCCTGCGTGTGATGCATCTGGCCTGCAGGCCGCCAGTTTGACACCCTGGTCTGGGGTCCTTGGTGCTCTCTGAGCTTGGTTGTTTACTTGCAGATGTTTCATTAGGTAACGTCATCAATGCTGATTTATGGTACTAGCACTGATGCCGTTATCTAGTTGGGTAACAAAACGTCTGCAAGAAAACAACCAAGCTCAGAGAGCTCCAAGGACCTCCATTTCAACCCTGAACTACAAATAATTTCCTTTATTGGTGTCTAGGGTTTGCATGTCCCTGTGTATTTATTTATTGGTATGTTTGTTTATAGTATTTTCTTTGACTTCTACCCTTTAAAAAAAAAAAGTTCTCTACAGCTTCTGCTTGTAAATTAGATTATTTTGTCCTGGGGCGTGCAAATCGACTTTCTCTGTAAGGCAGTGCTTTGATCAGGAAGCTGAATAGAGCCAGCTTGTGTAAGAGTGACAATTTCCTGCAGAGTTGCCTTTTTCTCCCCTCGCATCATTTCTGAAGCTAAGTGGTTACCAGAGAGAGAGAGGCCCTACCTCACCTCATGGGCAGTCTGTGAAAGCCTTGGCAGTTCAGCTCCCCCTCTTTAAAAAAAAAAACCTCAAAAAAAAAAAAAAACCAACCCGCCCCAAACCAAAAAAAAAAAAAAGTATTGTGTGTATGTTTGTGTATCCAGAACTGGAGGGCGAAGAAGGCAAGAAACGGGACTGCTTGTGGGGAGATGAGAGGAGAATAGGGAAGGGGCGGGAGGGAGCCTTTTCCCGCTCCCTTCCTGGCTTCTTTCGGCAGTGATTTTTGCTTGCCTTTTCATATTCCAGCCTTGATTTGGAGGTGCTGCGTTTTCCCTTGATAGATCTGCTGGAGGCAGCCAGGCGCAGCAGTGTAGCCGTTTGCCCGTAGCAGCTTCCTTCATTTTCTGTACAAAGAGATGGAGGGCAGGGAGGGGGGAAGAAGAACAGAGGGAGAGAGAGGGAGAAAGATCCAGGACACTGTTGAGACAACACTACCTCAAAGGTGCCCAGTGTGTAGCCAGGAAATAAATTACCAGCCCTTCTCTGATCTGCCACCATTTGACTCCTTTTCTTTCCCTCCCTCCTCCGCTCCCTTCCCCTTTTTCTGCCCCCCCCCTCCGTCTTATTTTTATTTTAATTTCCAACTCCTTTCTGTTTATACTTTACTTTTATTCCTTGAGTTAAAGTCTCTCTCTCTGTGTGTGTGTGTCTCTCTCCCCCTCCCGCCTCTGAGTTTTCCATTTGATGTTTGACAACAGTCTTTGAAGATTTTCTACTTCAGAGTAGCTACTGATGGGCTGGTTGTACTACAGAGAGAACAAGCAGGGTTCCTCGGAGTGCGACCAACTGCTCCTGCCGAAGGCAAACGCTATTGGGGAAGATGTCACTCCATGAGGCCACAGCACTTGCTCATAAAAATCCAAAGCAGACCATGCCTAGTTGCGGTCGTCTTTTCATCCAAACATGGAGACACAACAAGCTGAACGGAGCCAGCCAGCCGGCTCCTCAAACTGAGCTGCTTTCTCTCGCGCTGCTTGTTAAACTTGGCTTATTGTCTCTGTCCCTGCTCTGTGTAGAGAACCCACCGGCTCCCCAAGGAAATGACCCCCGTGGAACCCGCCACCTTTGCGGCCGAGCTCATCTCTCGGTTGGAAAAGCTCAAGCGAGAACAAGAGACCATGGATTGCTTGGAAGAGAGGCTGCAGCAAATCACAGAGGTAGGGACCTGACCCCCTCCCTTTGCATGGGTTCCTGCTTGGTGGCTCCCCCTTTGCTGAAGGGGAGGGTGGGTGAGAGGATGGGCGGGAAGAAGAGGAGGCATATGAGAGAGAGAGGGGGAGAGAGGGAGGGAGAGGGGGGGGGGAGGGGGAGAGAGAGAGAGAGAAAGAGAGAGAGAGAGAAAGAGAGAGAAAGAATGAGAATGAGAGATAGAGAGGGAGGGAGGGGAGGGAGAGAGAGAGAGAAAGAGAGAGAAAGAGAGAGAAAGAATGAGAATGAGAGATAGAGAGGGA